CTCATTTTCAGTTTTAGCTAAAGACCTCAACTCATCCATTAATGAGAAATCAGAAACTATCAGGTGGAAACTTATCTTTGCACAATCAAAGCTACAAAATCTTGCTTTTATCCCTAAATTGCTCTTCTGTTACAATGAAGARTCCTTTTTCCGAAAGTCTGTTTCTCCACTTGTGTTCTGTTCCTTTCCCCTTCTTTATTTTTCACTCTTCTTTCTATTCTCCTTAAGCACCAAGCTCTTTCCTGCCAGAGGGCTTTGCATAAGCTCTGAAATATTAAATCCTACAACATGCTACAACATGCATGAACCCTAAAGACATTGTGCTAAATGCAATAAACCTTAGTCACAGAAGCTCACTATACTTAGTCCATTTACTTTTCACTTATGTGAGTATAAAAATAGTCAAACTTATAGAAGGAAAARAATARAGTGTGCATTGCCAAGGACTAGTGAGAAGGAAAAACAGGGGAGTTAGTTGCTCATTGGTAGGTATAAAATTTTGGTTATGTAAGATGAGTAAGTTCCAGAGATCTGCTGTACAACAATTGTGTAGGATGCTGTACTGTATATTTAAGAAATCTTTTGAGGGCTGGGGGTGTAGCTCAGTGGTAGAGCATTTGTTTAGCATGAGAAGCCTTGAATTTAATTTTCCAGTACCACTAAAAAAATAAGAATCTTTTTAGGCCCAGGGAGGGTAGCACCACCTCTATAGTCCCAGTCACTCAGGAGGCTGGGATAGGAGGACCACTTGAGTACAGAAGATTAAGGTCAGCCTGGGCAACATAGTGAGACTCTGTCTACAAAATAAAAAACACTATGGACACTGGTGGATATAATTTCAGATTTTTTTTTTTTTTGGTACTGGGGATCAAACCTAGGGACACTGTACCCCTGGGCCACATCCCCAGTCCTTTTTTCCTGTGGAAACAGGGTCTCCCTAAATTGCTTAAATCCTTGCCGAATTGCTAAGGTTGGCTTCTTCAAACTTGCAATCTACCTGCCTCAGCCTCCCAAGTCACTGGAACCCAGGGCTTTTCATGTACTAATCATGTACTCTACCACTGAGGGCACCTTCAGCTCTTGCCAAATTACTTTTTAGCAATTAGATCTGTATGGATCTGTTTAGCCTTTGAACAGTTTCTAGACTGTTCTCTGCTATAGGCTTTTATCTTTATTTCAGATTATAGAACTATCCAACTCTCCATTTTGGCAATGCTATGCAAATGAGGCAGAAAACCTAAACATCAATAGTGACTTTATGAATGTCATTATACTCCCAGCATTCTGATCTTCTCTGTAACTCTTTGATCTGACTGCTTTAGTTCTGATCTTATTTTAGTGCCTGGTCTCCAACTACTATTTACACTTTCTTTTGGGGACTGAAATGATTGTCCTATTATTGCCTAGCATTTTCATTTCTTATTTTTAATGTTTCAAGTTTGGCCACCTTCTTAGGACATGACATTCAGTTCAGAACAAATTCTTCAAGCTGGAATTCGTGACCTTCCTTAAATTGAAACTTACCTATAGCAGATTTTTTTTGGGGGGTGTGTGGAGGGATAACAAGGATTGACCCCATGGGCCCTTATCTACTATGCCACATCCCCAACCTTTTTTATTTTTATTTTTTTTATTTTGAGACAGGGTCTTGCTAAGATGCTTAGGGCCTTGCTAAGTTGCTGAGGTTGGCTTTGAACCTGCAATCCTCCTGCCTCAGTCTCCCAAATCGCTGATGTTACATGTGTGTAGCACTGTGGCTGGTCAGATTCTCTTTTGACTTTTTTTTTTTTTTCCCCTGTGGAACTGGGGAATGAACCCAGGGCTTTGTACATGCAAGGCTAGCACTTTACCTACTGAGCTATATCCCCAGGCCTGTGTTTTCTTTAATTAATGGATTAGTTCTGGGGACACCATGTTGCACATCTCTAGACAGAACTATTTACACTGCATTCTATGTTAGTGGTTTCCCCTACTGGAACATTACTGTAATTTATGTGTTTTGGAGTTTTGTTTTTGCTTTTGTAGTGCTGGGAATAGAACCCAAGGCCTCTTGCATGTTAGGCAAGTGCACTACCACGAAACTACATCCCAGCCCTGTTATTTATGTTTTATGCTCTCCTCCCAACTCACTAGAGCCATTTCATCCTCCACAGTGTAACAACTAGATGCCCACCTCTATAGTCACCCACCTGTCCAACTTCTAGACCCAGTCCTGGCCATAAAAGAGGTTTAAGACTCTGTGAGACTCAGTCCAATTTATCCCTGTGCTTATTTCCAGTGTTATCATTCTGTTAAATGAGCTTTCTAAGACGTGGGCCCTAGAACTGGCACCTAGTGTCCTGTTTTGCCCTGGTAACCTGCCTAGGACTCTCATTCTACAGATAGTCTCACCCACATCCTCATGGCAATTGCTTGCTTAATTACCTGCCAACTGCGGTTTATTGTTATGCATATGAAATACTATTGGCACACAAGACAAACCTAGAGCTGTCTACCACGTCCAGTGCTAGGCTCATATCAAGGGAATCTGATCACATTTTTTTTTGACTACTTCTCTAGTCAAAGACTAGATATCTTATATCTTATATCTCAAAATGAAATGGTATTAGAATATTATACTTTTTTTTTGTATTAGGGATTAAACCTAGGGTACTCTACCATGAAGCCAACACTTGTTATTTTTTATTTTGAGACAAGTTCTCTACAAGTTGCCCAGGCTAGTTTTAAACTTGTGATCCTCTTGCCTCAGCCTCTAGAGTAGCTGCGATTATAGGCATGTGCCACAATGCCAGGATTTGAACCTCTTTTAAAAGGTGATATCCCAACCAAAAAGCATTATTCTGATGTCACTTGGTAATGAATATCAAACCCCTTTCTATATATATTATATTTTAATTGAGTTTTAAAGTTACCTTGATTATAAAATCATCAAACTTTTAAAACATGATTTTTTTTTTTTTTACTTTTTTAAGTGTACATTTTAGTGGCATCACCTACATTACATTGTCCTGTAACCACTATCAGCAACTGTCTACAGTGAAAAACATGAATTTTTTTTTAAGAGAGAGTGAGGAGAGAGAATTTTTTAATATTTATTTTTTAGTTCTCGGCGGACACAACATCTTTGTTGGTATGTGGTGCTGAGGATCAAACCCGGGTCRCACGCATGCCAGGCGAGCGCGCTACCGCTTGAGCCACATCCCCAGCCCSAAAAACATGATTTTTAAAAACATTTTAGTCATTTTAGGTAACTTATCTTTGACTGGTTCACATAAAATATGTGCTAGCTTTATAATATGACCTTCTCTAAATCATAACAAAGCAAATTTGAACAAAAAGAATTTTATTAAAGATGATCAAACCCCTAGCAAATAATTACACATTGTAATAAGTTAAATACATTACAATAAATGAAAATGATAAATTACAATAAATAAAAGTGAAAATGATTGACTTAATAGATTACCTGCCCAAGTTTTTTTATAGAATTGCCAAGAAGTAATTTCCTTACAATAAAAGTGTTTCCATTTTTTCTTTTATTTTTCTCTATTCTAGAGAGAAATCTCAGCTGTTTACTCATACCATCTCATTAAATTCTGCAAGAAATCTATAAAGTGTATTTGGAATTATAATTGTAAAAAGAAAATTGAGAACACTTTATTTTGTTCTTGGAAAACTTTATTTCAGTTTAAACAACAAAGCAAATGATATTTATGTCATCCAGGAACAGATGAGAGTATGGTCATCCTTTATAGCTACATCGTTGGCAAATTCCAAATGAGAGGCATAATCTAGGTAAAAGACATTTATTACTCCAAACTATATTTATCTTCCAATCTGAGATCATAAAATTAGTTAAAAAGATTAGAGATAGATTACATGAAGTCACATCAGAACAGCTGAGAAAGTGATGTCTAATGTTTGGAAAATTACATTCTCTTTCTACTTCATACTCTAAAGAATGATTTTTTTTTCCATGCTAGAGATTGAACCCAGGGCCTTGCACATGCTAGGCAAGTGCTCTACCTCTGAACCACACACCCAGCCCAAGAAGGAATTCTTAAGGATCAGCAACAGATGGTTCATACTGTATGTATTAGAAACAATGATATGTACTTTCATCAGTTTCATATGATTATTAGGATTCAAGATATTATTTAAAATCTAGATATAGGTTCAAACAGTCAAGTCAATGACAGAAAATGAAAATCTTAGATTTCTTTAGAGGAAACATAAAAACATGATTATTTGGATCTTGTTTTAATTTAAAATCAAAAGTATTTTTAAAAAAWTTTTTGGTAGTTGTAGATGGAGAACATGACTTTATTTTATTTGCTTATTTTTGTATGTGGTGCTGAGGATCAAACCCAGTGCCTCACACATACCAGGCAAGCACTTTGCCACTCAGCCCCAGCCCCAGCCCTAGCCCTAAAAGTCTATTTTTCATGTATTAAAAAAAAGACATGGTAGCATTGTTACACACCTGAAAAAGATTACAAGTACAATATCCCCATAACAACAGCAACTGAGAAATCTAATTAGTCTACAGATTTTGTTTCTGATAAAGTATTTCTTTGAGCTTGCCTTCTGTTAACGATGCATAACTTGCCAGATAATTATGACATTGATTTTCAAGCTCTTCTTCCATTGTATTTTCCCTTTTCACTAAGATGTATCTAGAGATAATGAAACAATGCGAAACAGCTCTAAAGACCTTCAATAATATTCTTTTACTAAATTAGTTGATCTTATTCCAGTGAAAGCTAATGACAAATTTATCCAATAGCCTTTGATTTCAAAATTACTTAGACTAGTAGAATACAGCATCATATACAGACTTTTTTTTTTCTTTTTTAAATTTTGAGAAGGTCTCACTAAATTGCTTAAGGCCTTGCTAAATTGCTGAGGCTGGCTTCAAACTTGTTATTCTCCTACCTCAGCCTCCCGAGCTGCTGGGATTACAGGAATGTTCCACCACACTGGTATATACAGACATCTTAATAATCTACTTACATCTCAAAACAAGTTATCTTTCTAAACAATTTACAAATGTGAAATATGCAATATTGTTTGAAATAAATATACAATATATTGTTTCTACATTCTCATACAGGCTTAAAAATGAGGTAATAAAAACTTAACTGATTAAAACTTTTACCATTCTGGAAATATCTTAGGGAAATGACGGTGAAATTTTATTTTCTTAGGTCTTTTTGTGTTTTCTTTGAATACTTCCTTTTTCTATGCTGAAAAATTATGTAAAAAATCCTTGAGCTTTGTTGGATAATCTGTCATCACTCCAGTTGCTCCCAAATCGAAAGCTCTTTTGTACTCTTGTTCTTCATTTAATACCCAAACATACACCTGGAAATCAAAATCACAAGTATGAAAACAAATGTTAAAAGAGAAAATTATTTTTATAACATTTATCTATATAATCTCAACATACTTAGAACCTCTTAAAGTTGCCATTTTAAGAAATCAGTAAACTTATAAAAAAAATTCCACTTGCTCATTAAACATGCACTGCCCAACCCCTCTGACTTAGCTGTTCTCGTCTATACTATATAAAGAGCTATCTAGCTACAGAAACACGAATGCTTTATTACTAACTATAAGGTAGATTTTTTTTTTTTAAAGAGAGAGTGAGAGAGGAGAGAGAGAGAGAGAGAGAGAGAGAGAATTTTCCAACATTTATTTTCTAGTTCTCGGCGGACACAACATCTTTGTTGGTATGTGGTGCTGAGGATCGAACCCGGGCCGCACGCATGCCAGGCRAGCGCGCTACCGCTTGAGCCACATCCCCAGCCCTATAAGGTAGATTTTAATGTCCTCATTTGTGAATCAGCAAGGGAACAGCACCAGAATCTGGGTTCAAATTAAGTCAGTTAAAGGCCCCTACCCTTTACACTTGTGGTAAATTGATAAGCTACACTGTTTTCAAAATGCATTGTTCCGAAACTTACTTGAATGCCTCGGGCAGTGAGGTGGTCAAATAAAGCTTTCCTCATTAATAAACTAGAAAAGAAAGGCAGAACAGATTTAGGTATTTCTTTCTTTTTTTCTTTTTGTTTTATTTTAGTACTGGGGATTTAACTCAGGCATGCTTTGCCACTGAACTACATCCCTTTTTATCCTTTGAGACTGGGTCTCCATAAGTTGCTTAGGGTCTTGCTTAATTGCTGGAAGTTGTGATCCTTTTGCCTTGGCTTTCAAAATTGCTGGGATCACAGGCCACCATGCCCTGCTGGATTTCTTAGTCCTAACTACTGACTAGAATTAGTCCTCAGTCCTACCTTGGTCAATTTTGAGATTCGTAATTCTTTATTTAATTGAATCCCCAAACTCCAGCAATACAAGCAAAGGTCTTAAGTAATAGTAGCTCCTGAGGATAAATTCAAATCTTAACTGCTGGATCCCCCCTTAACTGTTGGCTGCTGGCTGGTGGACAATGAGAACCTCCCCTAGTACTGCCACCAGAAAATCCATTCTCATGGAAACCTTAATGGAGAAGAAGCTTGCTCACTTTCCCTGCTGGAGCCATAATGAGAGTGAGAGAGCTAGGAGGTGTGTGTTGTCCACTTGCCAGGTTAAAATAAAGCAGGAAATTCATGTCAAGTTCTTTACCATCATACTTCAGTTACATAATAAACTAGTCTTTTGTTAGTTGTCTTAGAAATCACATATCCATTAGTTATACTATTCAATACCTATGAAAAAGTTTTTTTTTTTTTTTAGTTTCAAATAACTAAAAGTGCACTTTTAGACTACAAGTCACTTGAACAAGATGTGAACTAATTGTACTGGAAAGTTATATGTATTCTTTCCTTCTTCTTCTTTTTTTTTTTTTTTTTTTGTATGGGGGATTGAATGCAGGGGCACTTTACCACTGAACTACATTTCCAGCCATTTCTACTTTTTATTTTGAGACAGAGTCTCATTAAATTTCTGAGGCTGGCTTGGAACTTGTGATACTCCTACATCAGCCTCCTAAGTTGATGGGAGTACAGAAGGGCGCCATGGAACCCATCTGAAAGTCATACATATTATTTCTATTCAGTTATATCTATTAGAACGATCTTAAGTAAGAAAAACCTGAAATCATGTGCTTTTTAAAAAAATAACTTTATTTATTTGTTTTTATGTGGTGCTGAGGATGGAACCCAGTGCCTCACACATGCTAGGCATGCACTCTACCACTGATGCACAACTCTAGCCCCCTGATGTGCTTTTAACACCAATTAAAAGTGCACTGGCGCTTGGATTGTAGCTCAGCGGTAGAGCGCTCCCCTAGCACGTGTGAGGCCCTGGGTTCGATCCTCAGAACCACATAAAAATAAGTAAATAAAATAAAGGCATTGTGTCCAACTACACCTAAAAAATAAATATTAAAAAAAAAAAATAAAAGCGCGTTCTTTTTTTTTTTTTAATATTATTTATTTATTTTTAGTTTTCGGCGGACACAACATCTTTGTTTGTATGTGGTGCTGAGGATCGAACCCGGGCCGCACACATGCCAGGYGAGCGTGCTACCGCTTGAGCCACATCCCCAGCCCCAAAAGCGCGTTCTTAAAAACTAGAAATTAAATCAAGAATAAAGGGAAAAAAAAAAAACAAACCTGTGGCACAGAAAAAAACATAAAATCAATTTTCCAAAACTTTGAAAGAGAAGCTACATAATAAAAGGTTGTACCAGGCATGGTGCTGCATGTCTGAAATCCCAGCAGGTCAGGAGCTTGAGGCAGGAAGATTGTGAGTTTAAAGCCAGCCTCAGCAGATAAGCAAGACACTTAGCAACTCAGTGAGGCTCTATCTCTAAATAAAATATTAAAAAATGCTGATGGGGGATGGGGGTTTTCAGTGGATAAGCACCCCTGGGTTCAATCCCCGGTAATAATAAATAAATAAATAAAAGATTGTGATTTAGGACTATTAACATATTTAACATTCAAGGCTCCATTCTAAAGCAAAACATAAAACAATTACATAAGTTTACCTAAAATTAAACTCAATATATTGTAAAAGTTAAGGCATTTTTTTTTTTAATGTGTCTTCACCCTGCAGGAAGGACCTCTCTGTTGCTGAGTCTTGGTACAAATGTTTCTAAAAAATGTGCCAGTAGGCAATATATATTTTTACATATTGTTTTGCACACTTCTTTTCACCATGTTTTTATTTGTGAACTAGTGGAATCAGTGAATAAACAGAAGGCTATTTACCACAACTCTGCTACTAATTAGCTACATGACCCCAAGTAAATCATTTTACTGGGTGAATGGAGGCTCAGTTTTCCCACGAAGGTGGACGACATTAACTCTCAAAATTCCTCCTGAGGTTTTGTGTCTAGTAAGTAATTAAGCTACTTCTAAATGATTCACATACATCTACTTGCTTAGGAGATGCTCACCAAGTCCTTGTTGCAAATTCCATGTAGGAAGCTTGCACTAAATTTTAAATGTGATATTTATTAAACACAGAGCAATAACCTGCATATCAAGAAACTAAAATTCTTACATATCGGAAAGCCAGATGAGAAACTTTTGACTTCTGGACATGGTGTGTGGTTCTTTTAGCCTGAGGAAAGATAAAGTTTGAATTACAAATTAGAAATACAAGAATAAGCCAAGTTCAAAAATGAAAAGAAAAAAAAAAAAGACCATGCATGTCTTACTATGTTCTTAAAAAGAATATTTGTGAAAAGGACAATAATAATAAAAAGCCCAGTCAGTTCTGTTTCCACAGGCCTCAAGCTAACTTCTTGCTATCACTATTCGAAGGTAAAAATAAAAATTATATTTCAGAGACCTAGTGCCCTGGATTTATCATGATCCTCTCTTTTAGACAACCTCTTTCTCCTCCTTGGCTATAATTTCGTATGTAGTAGATTTAAACACACAACTAAATTGTGCTATGAATTAAAAAGATATTTGGGGTAAAATTGAGCATTGTACATTTTTCTTTCCTTTTCAATATTTGAGGACTTGGATCTGTCCTTTTAAAATTATCTTTCCTACTAAAAGGCTCTACCTGACTTTTTAGCCCCATGCTGAGTTCCTTCCTCCCATCTCTTTGAGGCTTGAGCCAAATAACTAACTACCTGTGTCATTACTTGGGCTGGTGTCCAAAGGAAATCTCTGACACTCCTCTCGCCTACCAAGATTTCTCAGAGGCTTTCTAAGTTTATCAGCACAAAGTCATTTTCATTCTTCCCAGATCTTCGTTTCCTGTTTTCTTTCTGACACCCCTCCTGACTACACTCTTAATTCTGAGAGTCCACAACTGTTAAATTCCTCTTTTAACTTTCTGAGTTCAATTTTTATTAGAAGCTCTCTGAATAAAGCACAAGTTCTTATTTTCTCTAACTGAGATGAAAACTCCTGGTTGAAATTTCAGGAATTCAAGGATCCTAATTACCTCATTAAATACAATTATTAGATTATGTAAATATCCATTGTTCTCCTTCAAACATTGAAACACACACAAATAATATTCTACCTATTTTAATCCATAATCACTTTTTAGAGAAAAGACTAATGCTATAGTGTTTGTGCTTCTTATGTTTGTATTTCAACAATATTTTTTCCAAAAGAAACACATATAGATTATCTAAAGAGTATAACATTCAGCTCCAGGCAGGAGAAAAGCTATACATGGTTAGTAATCACTTTAGTGTGTGTGTGTGTGTGTGTGTGTGTGTGTGTGTGTGTGTGTGTGTTGCTTGGAATAGAACCCAGAGCCTCTCACAGGCTTAGAAAGTACTCTAAAATAAATAAATAAATAAATAAATAAATAAATAAATAAATAAATAAA